CTCAAGACCTTCACAACCTTATTGTTGCAAAGCATAATGATGGCATTGGGTCCAAGATTAACCTTCAGGGTGGATATAGCTCGCTAGCAGCCTCGCACCGAGGACCTATCCACGTCATCATTTACCCAGAATGCTTTGCATGTAAATAAAATGGCCCTGTCCGTGTAATATATTTTTAAACTTTTAGTTCAAAAATGATAAAAACTAAACAGCACACAGTATTTTTAGTCTTTATTTTACAGTTAAAATTTATGTTTATAAAATAAAGTCTAACGTTACAACCAATCAGGGATCCCTTTAAGACTAGCGGACTACAGCTCCTTGTATGTATATTTGGACCAGTGGTTGGAAAGACTAAGTGGAAATATAGTGTTTCTGCATAGGACAGGATACTACAATCTAACTAGGACAACTGCTGGTGGGCCAAATCAAATGGCTTGGCAAACCACTTTTGGCCTGCGGGCCCAACTTTGGGCACCTCTGATCTGATGCAATCTACCAGCACTTCAAATATGTGTTCAGGATGACTCTCAGCTACTACCACGCCAAATTTTCAGTTCGTTATAGCTATCCTTGTGTTTGCTAGGGTCGATTAGCTGTGGCGGCCATCTTGAATCACATTATCTCTAAGGTTGTGTCTCAATGCAGCCGACGTTGACTGCGGTCGACATTGGCCACAGTCTACGTGGGCCATAGGCCACTCATGTTGACAGCATGAACAGTTGTGAATTGAGACGGTCTAGTCTACAGAAGAGATATGTTTGCGTGACCACGTGCTGCCTACGTTTTACATCACAACGCTTCAGTTGTTTTTTTATGGTATAACTTCATAAAATTCAGTTTTATTAGAAAAATGTTACAAGTAAATAAATAAAAATCGTTAAATAGTTTGGGTTTAGCTACAATGTAACCAATGTAACTGCATTTTATTTAACATCTCATTGCAAGAAAACTTTCTTCAGCTATGTTGCTAAACTCACAGCGGAGTTTGGAATTTTATCACAAAAGTCTGCGATAAAATCAAAATCTGTACCGTAAAAAGTAAAAAAAAAAAATACTTCACCAACTTTATTTTTCTGTTAATTTGTTGATGGCACAATGAATTCTGGGATACCATCAGCTGCTGAGGATACTCAGATGCAGCCTAAGTTTTGGGGGTTTTGTCAGCAGCATGAGTAGGCACCTACGAATTGGGACAGCCTACGGCGCGGGGCAGAGACGTACGTGGCCGACGTCGGCTGCAACCCATAAACTGACACAGCATGAGTTTAAATTGGTTGTAGAGGTATAATAAACCATTACTTGATGAGAATTTCGTTCAGATGTGTTCATTGGTTCATGAGTTATTTAGCTAACAGACACATAAATGTACACATAAACAGAAGCGGATCACTCGCCTGTCGTGGCAGCTGACAGTAAGAATGTAGCGTAAAAATTATATTTCTTAATTTATTTAAAATTTTGGCTGAGAAAATGGCAGGCTGTAAGAGAAGTTAAAAGAAATTACTCCGGTTGCCTGTCTTGCGTTGCTTATTTAATTATATTTTTCCCACCTGCTGCGTTCGTCAGGTAAATAACTTAAAAATCAGAAACGTAGATAAAACAAGCAGAACTAAAGACGTCTGCACTCGTACTTAAATGTGTAAAATACATTAAAGATTATGTGAGCAGCTTTGATAGTGACGTTAACACAGCAACACTTTAAAAAATCAGTTTTTATCAAGATGAGGTAATCCTCCTCGCTGCTGCTCAGGTGGTCCGAAGAACCAATGAGGTCACAGAAGCTATGAAAAGAAGCGTAGAAATGTATTTTTCTTATGTTATTCCAAGACAACAATGTTCACTTTCATTATCTTGAGACAGCTGTGCTTAAAGGGATAGTCTGGACATTTTTCTGAAGTGATGCTTTGTCACTAGTTATTATCTTATCAGGTGACAGCACTGATAGAACAGAGAATGGAGAAAAGGCTTGAAGTGTTTGTCCAGGTTAGCCAAACCAGGTCCTTTTTTAAGTTTCAATCTTGTAAAACAACTTTGTCCCAAACATAACATGCTGAACCTCGGAGAAACAACACTATTAAAATACACCTCTACACTTTTATATGACACTGTTTGTTTAGTTTGCTGTTTTTTTTTTAACCAAACAACATCCATGTTGTCAGTGTGAGCAAAGCCTCCTGCCCTGTTCTCCATCCTCTGTTCTGTTTGACTGAGAAAACGGAAGAATGTCACACCAAAGAACAATAATTACAGTTTTTATAAAGTAGCCTCAAGTGCATACTCATCTTAATATTTTGACAAAAACTTATTTGATTTCAATAATATCTTATTATATTTAGACAATGAGTTTTTTTAGCTGACAAAATGAAACTATCATGTTAATCTTGTCTTATCTCTTAAAGGGCCAATATTGTGTGTTTCTAAGGCATACATTTAAATACTATACCACAATAAAGTGTATATATCACCTTTAGTTCTTATTAAAATGTTGTTTTTATGTTTAAATAGAAAATAAACTTACCTTCTCATCAATTCCTCTTCTAAATGCCATGAAATTGGCCTCTGTCTCTTTAAGAACCACCTTCCGCTTCTGTCTCGCCCATTTCGGTGCGGGGGTGGGGTCGCGGGGGGAAGGGGTGGGGCTGCTATGATGCAGTTTACTTGGCATCTGAAAATACATTTCCTCAAAGGTATTTTTAATCTGAAAAGAGCTTCACTGAGTGAGAACTAATGTTAGGAGCTCAGCACAGTTAAGTTTCACTTTCACTTTCACCAGAGAGCCTGCAGGACTCATGAGCGAGGTGTGCGGGGGTGGGGGAGGGGGGCTCTGCCATGAGGAAGTTTGGCTTAAAGACACATCCCAGGAGCGTTTCTGGTACCAAAAGGTGTTTCTGGTCCCCACCTGTTGTTTTGCTCCTCAGCATGGCTTCCTAAAAACGCTGCTGGATTTCTCAAACCTGCATGAATGAGTCAAAGCAAGGCTTTGGGCATGTTTTTTATGAGAGTATAACATTATAACATGATATAAAACTCAAAAAAGTTGATTTTACATGATATTGCCCCTTTAAGAGCAGGTAATGTTGATGGAGCTTTATCATGTAAAATCAACTTTTTTGAGTTTTATATCATGTTATAATGTTACCCTCTCCTCATAAACATGCCCAGAGCCTTGCTTTGACTCATTCATGCATGTTTGAGAAATCCTGTAGTGTCCTGAGGCAGCCAGGCAGGGGAGCAAAAATTACCGGTTCGGACCTTAACCTTCTTTTGGGACCTGCTCCTCCTCTGGGCTGTGTCTCCAAGCTGAGCTTCCTCATCACAGAGCACACACACACACACACGGTCCTGTGCTGAAATGGGCAGGACAGAAGCAGAAGGAGGTTCTTAAAGAGACAGAGGCCAATTTCAAGGTGTTTAGAAACAGATATGATGAGAAGTCAAGTTTACTTTCTATTTAAACATAAAAACAGCATTTTAATAACAACTGAAGGTGACATAGTTAATTTATTATGGTATAGTATTTAAATATATGCATGAGAAACACATAATATTGGCCCTTTAATGAAAGCAGCAACAGCCATTCTCATTTCCAAGCATTCCAGACACAAATTTTATTTCCTTTGCTGATTACTTTAATAGCAGGCAATGTTAAATTAGTTATTGTTACAATAAAGCTACAATCACATGGTGTTAGATACACCTGGTTACAAGTGTGTTCATTAATGACAAGGTTGTGTGGATTTCACCTGTTTAGAAATGTGTACAAGGACAACCGAACTCTGGAGCTGGCCTGTGACTCTCAGGACGATGTGGACAGCTGGAAGTCATCTCTCCTCCGCGCCGGGGTCTACCCCGAAAAGACCACTACGGTTTGTGAACTCATTCAGCTGCATTTCAGCAAGAACAGCTGCTCTAATCCGGACATTGTTAGTGATGTCACCGCTGCCTGCTGTCCTTTAGAGCAGGGCTTCACAAAACTCAGGGTTAGGATTCCACTGTGGGATGTCAAACACTCATTAGGAGGGAAGATACAAAGAAATCATATGGACTTTCATATAGTCTTAACTGTTAGAAAACATAAAAACTGGTTAAAAAGGCGTAAAAATATATCATAGTTGAGGCATTTTGTAAGCAGTGTTTATATAACTCAAAACAATCCAAGTCTCTTCATTTGTTGTTCAAAAGCTGAAAACTTTAGGAACTCCAGGATGTTTTAGTCTTTATCCACTTCATAATCACAGCATCAAGAGTTCAAATAACTGTTTAATACAAAACTTTTTTTTTTAAATTTAAGCACTTACTTTTTGTTTAATCAGAATGTTTGCAACCTACAGGTTGAGAGTGAGACGACCACCACCACCGATAACTTCTCCATGGACCCCCAGCTGGAGCGTAAAGTTGAAACCATCCGGAACCTGGTGGACTCGTACATGGCCATTGTCAACAAGTGCATACGGGACCTCATCCCTAAAACCATCATGCATCTAATGATCAATAACGTAAGAAAAACACACATTTATAAACTCCACGTTTAAAAGACTTTGTTTTCTAAAGTGTAATATTTCGTACAGACTGTATTTTACAAAGATTTTTTTATTGCCTTTACTGATCATTTTTTATTTTGTTTGAATCTAATAAAAAATTTCAGGCCAGCGATAAACATCTAAAAGCTCGAAACAGTTTTCAATTTTCTTAAAGCTTGGAGCGTTCCAACATTTTCATCATTACAAACGCTGCTTTTTCCTCACTGAGAAGTCGATGTCAGGGGCGTCTGACAGCTTCTGGTCTGCATGTTTTAGATGTTTCTCTGCTTTGACACACCTGATTTAGATGAATGAATAACACGTTTCTGCAGAAGAGCAGGGAAACAGCTAAACCATGCTGGGTAGTGGCCCTCGAGGACCAGTACTGGCAACAGTATGACTCAGGAGTAGCAGGGTGGTTTTGGCCCTTCTGGAACGCTAGATCAACCTTTGAATCTTGCAGGAAAATCTGAAACATACAGTGGTGTATTAGGGCCATTTTTCAAAAAATAAAAAATAAATGAGGTGCAAATCTCTGCCAAAAAACTCAGAAATTTTGAGATTATTTTATAAATTTTCAAGAAAAACAATAACAAGGACATTCTCTGAGCTCCAAAAGTTGTAAATTTGCAAGAAAAAAACTGAATTTCTGAGATTGTTTTCAGAAATTTTAGAGAAAAACAAGCAGGAAATTCTCTTATGTAGAAAAGTTGTAAATTTGCGAGAAATAAACTCAGAAATTTCCATGAATTAAGTCAGAAATTTTTGATATTTAAACTTAATATTTTCTGACATTGTAAAGTCAGAAATTTAAATGAAAGAAACTGAAGTTTTCACAAAAGTGTAAAGGACAATTCCACACGTTTCACTACCTTTATCATTTTTAATCTGCTCTAGTATAAAAATTAAAACACGTAGACACTTCAGACCTGGACTAGATTATTCAACACTGATTACAGAATATTTTAAACCAAGCGTGTGATTTGGGAAACTTACATGCTCATTTTGTTCATAAAATGCATAAAAAGTGCTGAAATTGATCAATAGTGATGTTTCACAAATCAATAGTTTGTTTTCTTGTAAATTTCGAGATTTAAAATGTCAGAAAATATTTTGTTTAAATATTGAAAATTTCTGCCTTTATTCATGGAAATTTCTGAGGTTTTTTTTGGAGCTCAGAGAATTTCTTTGTTTTTTCTTGAAAATTTCTGAAATTAATCTCAAAATATTTGAGCTTTTTGGAAGAGATTGGCTCCTCCTTTTTTCTATCTGCAAAGGGGGTCACGTTCAGGGTCTTCAGGACTCTATTCGACCTTTGTCCAACAAGAGTGAGAGTTTGGTTTGTATCAAGTCAAACACGTTACCAGTAAGTGTTGGACTCCAGACTACTCCTTTTTGTCATTGTTTCTGTTCGTAACTTTTATAAACAGAATTTCAGAGGCTCTGGTCTTTGGATTTTCTTTCTACTTTTTGTGGGCGATGTGGCTCTGTGGGTCTCATTGGGCCTCATGA